CCGCTTCTTAATTATAAAAAAAAGCAAAAAAAAAAAAGTTAAGGTTGTTTAGCCAGCTTCATTAACAGGCCTCTAATTATCTGCAAACCTGATGGATTTGTGACAGGCATAACGATTAATACCGACAAATTCAGCAAGGAGTCAAGTTTGCAGGCTGTTTGATGTAATCAACTTGATATTATACAGTCCCTACAGCCTGTGGTGCAGTATTAACTCAATTTGCTGGTACAGGTGACAAATGGACTTTGCTACCTGACTAATCATGTCACAGAGACAATGCTGCTTAATGACCTCGGTAATCCCTTGCTTTTAACCGAGCAATAAAACTAGTTCAGAAAACCAACAAGTCAGCTGTTTATTCTCAGTTCTGTTATTGCAGTTACTAATTGTGTCTTAGCTGGACCTCAAAAACGCAAGTTGGTGAAATGCGAGAGTGGGAAGTGCCCCGATCGAGCCGATCAGATTAATGTGTATGACTTGACATCGATTTTTTTTTTTTGGTATCGTTTAAATTAAATTGCACATTGAGTGGGTTTTGAAAGCTGTCCAGACAATCGGTATCTTTGCATATTACATGTGTGTATGTTCACAGCTGAAATCTCCATTCATCTGGTACAGGCATCCCCTAAAACATCGTAGCAGGTAGTGTAATGGTGGGATCTTGATAGAGTCATATTAAAGTTAGTACAAATACATTATCTCTTTGTACTGACAAGAAAAATGACTGCCTATATTGCCTTCAGCAATACATTTAAATTTTGACATTCTCCTTAGAATTTCTGCAAAAAGTGCAAATAAAATTTTATGACCACATAAAGTGGTTTGGTTTAGTGGGGAAAAGAAAATACACCGTATCTCTTTAGACATGCTCTCATGTCTCCTTGGATTTCACTAGGAAAATATACATGATTTTTTTCCCCCCTATTTACATTGTTTTCGTATTTAAAAAAAAAAATTTTTTAAGCTCATCGTATTAAGAGGAGCAAGAAACAATATGCCCTTTTAAATATGATATGGAGCAGAATGCAACCAAGGAATTACGTAGTGTCTGGTGTAATAATTATCTTGGTGGCACAGTTTTTAATCAGTGCCCTCTAACCCTTCATACACAGGTTGCATTCCCAAAGGAGGATGATACCATGTATTTACATGTGTTCTTTTGTTAGTATTTTGTCAGCTACTTAAACATGTACACTTTCATAAGCATTGGTTGTAACCTCTGCTCCTTTTGGCCAACCCAAACGTAGAAAAAAAAGTAGTATAAATAAGTATAGATTTAGATCAATGTATTCGACTGCATATTAAGGCCAGGTGTTTAATCGGGATTCTCTCTCACATGCAATGGCACGTCGACACGAAGAAACAACTTAATTTCAGCATTAGCCTTTCTCTGTTTCACACATCTGCTTAGCATATTGTTAGTAAACAGAAGAGCAGTTTGTTTCCTTACTTGCATTATATTTTGTTGCTTAGTATGATAATTTTATGATAATTAAAGGAAAGCAGAATGGATATTCAGATATCAGGGAAATATACATAGGAAGTGAGGTGGATGAGTTGGCCACCACTCTTACTAAAGGCTGTAAGTCACGGTATAGTGTTTCCATATTGTTTTGCTGGTCATTGTTTATGTGGTATATATTTTGAAACAGTTTGCATGTCACGTGACACGAAGAGAAGGACCGCAGCCTGCCGATACTGCAATATTGTACCACACACGTGCTGTGCCTTTATGGATGTGTGTCTGGAGCATTTCCATGGAAGGGTATTTTGCAGAATATTGAATGGCAAGCAGCCAGGATGGTCAAAATACATTAGGCATGGCTAAAGGAACTGAGGGCACTGTGCTTGGGGTAGCCAAAACATGGCAATGCTCTGTGGTATTTTACTTGGTGAGCACAGATGCATGGGCTTCTAAATGCTGTCACTTTTGTACCCCCTGGGGTCAAATCTGTGCACAGATTGGCAGGATAATAGGCATTATAGACTGAGACCAGTTCTGAGAATATGAAGAGAAGAAAAATGGTGCACCACCTTTTATTCAGGCACAATAAAA